CAAGACCCACTGTGTCTTTCTCATTCTCCGGATCACCTTGTTAAACCTCTGGCTAGTATGCTTCTCTGTGGCTTACTTAGTTCTGCAACCTCCAACTAGCTACAGAATGTTGCCTATTTTTTGCCATTGAGACCACTATTGTTTCTTGAAACTTCTACTCCAATCAAGTTAGCCCCAAATGGCAGCAGAAATTCTGTTTTTCACAGCCTAGTCTGTTTAGGTAGAATCACCACACAGACTAAGCTTAGGGGCAGGGGTGATAGAAGCAGGCTCAGAATAAAATGCCAGAAACTCCCAACTTTTCATAGTCATGATTTAGTAGTCTTTTTCTTAAATAAATGCTTCTCAATTTGTTGTATGCCTTTGGTTGATTTCCAGAGCCCTAAAATGGTTAACTTTAACTGGTCTGTCCAGTTTTACTGTTGCTTTTTTTGGGAAGAAGATTTACCAAGCTCCTCACTCCACCACTCCAGAAGTCCTAACATCCTCACCCCCAGGCACACACTCTTAAGTTTATTTTAGGCTAATAATACTATCAAATATTTATTTTAAATTGGCTTCATTTTAATTGAAACTCTAATCTTCCTCCAACAACCATTAATGGCTCTATCAGCATCTTGAAAGCATTAGTGGGTCTTAGAGGGAACTATCTTGCTGAATATAAACCACATGTTCCCCCCCCCCGCAAGACTTCAGGCCTCACTGAAATGGGGGCATCTACCTGTAGATGCCTAAGCACTGCCTCAAGGTGTGTGGGGGTAGGTAGGACAGGATTTTTCTAACCCTCTTCTGTGATGGATGAGGTGTTAAGAAAACAGGTTCTTAAGCTGAAAGCTGCCTCATGTGATTTCTGATACCCAACAATACCATTGAAACCACATTATTATCCAAATGTCTAACTTCCTCCACCCAGCATATATTACAAAAAACCTCCACAGGACCCTGAAAACCTCAGAATTCCACATGACATACTATTCACTGCCTGAAAAGCCATCAGTAAAGCCCTTCAGGGCCAGGGTGTCATGTGGGTAATTGGCAAGAACCTCTTTAAAAGGGATTCCATTCAATAATATGTCTTTTTTTAAAAAACCTAGCTAAACATAAAGCTGAGCATCAAGTAATTATACTCTCAATCTTTTCAATTGCACATTGTTTTGAAAATGTCAAAATTACAACCAAATGCTGCTGCTGGTGCATTTTAATGGTGGTTTTCTGGATCTCAATAAAGGTACTACATAAGAGTAGAAAGGAAGAGGTTTGCATATTTTACCTGTGGAACTATAGTAAGTAGAGCACATAGACATAATATAGGTGGTATCCACTGAAATACAGATATTTAATGACCTTTGTCTTTAGATTCTTTTTTTTTTTTCCTTTGGAAGGAGAATCAGTGTATGGCCATAAAATTATGAAGGTTGCTATGGGAAAGACATACTAAAGCAGCAAATTTCCAGAAAAGACAAACAAGTCATCAAAATATATATACTTACACATCAAGAGATAAGGCAAGGGTGTGGGTGCTTACATGTGTATGAGATTGTACAAGACTCACCCTGTAAATGTCATAGGTCTTTCCTAAGAGTCACTCCTGCCCTTGGCCAGAACCCACAGAGTAATTGGCTGGGTGAGGATTGTAAATCTAATGCCAAACTGTATCACCTGGAGCTCTTGTCTCTTGTGAACAATGGTTCAGAACAATTCATTCACTTATTTATTTCCCCACTAAACACGCCTTTGTTGTGTCATCACCAGGCTAAATGCTGGGAATACATACGTTGTATTCCCAGTTTGGGAAGCCATTATATTATAGGGGAGTAATGGAACAAATAAACCATTTAAAGTAGTAGAATATGGTATGTGTTAAATCCCTCCCCCTCCAAAAAAAAAAAAAACTTAAGATGCATAGATTGCAAACAGGCAGCTATGGGTCAAATCTAACTACAAATATGTTTCCTTTGGCTATATACTGATTTGTTTGTTTTTTGATCTGAATTTCAGCAAACTATGAAATCCAACCACAAGTATATGTAAGCCAGGACAAACACCACCACCACTACCCCCAGCCACCCACACACACAATCATCTACATATGCCTAGTTCTGGGCAGTCCTGTTGATATTTGACTAGTATTTGTTCATTAATTCTATATAAGTAGGTAAGCAGTTAACAGATTCCAGAATTTTAAGAAAAATGTAAAAGAAAATGGGTTTTTCTCTATTTAACTTTATCAGTAGGGAAACATCAGCCAAGATTCCACTGGAGGAGTGGAATACTACTCTCTGATTTGCAGGAGGCAATTTAATATGTAACTATTTGGAGAAGGAGACTAATATGAGACAAGTAGAGATAGGAGAAACTAAAGCCTAAGTATTAGTTTTTTTTTTCTGTGTGTGTATTTTGAGGGGTGAGTATTTTGCTAGGAGGAGTAGGAAGGACCTTTCTTCAAATAATAACACTGGGCTACCTCATGCTTCCAGCCCCTAAGGTAAGCAGGGAGCATTTCTCACTCCCAGGCCTCTCCCTGTATCTAAGGCAAGGTGGGGGTTGGGAACTGAGCTGAGCAGGCAGTAGCTACAACACTAAGACTGATAAATCCCGGCAACCCATAGGAAGGGTGTGGAGGAAAGGACGTATTGCCCTGCCAGAGGCCCCACTCCCTCACCATGAGAGGTAAGGGTTTGCTCCAGCTCTGTGCCTCCTTGCTGCCTGCTCAGTGTCCAATGTGCCCCATTTCTTGCCTCCCTGTAAATACTGGATGAAAAGGAAGAATGGGCCCATAGAGGCAAGAGCACCACCCCACCATGCTCCTGGTTTATTGGCTCCTCTGTAAAGCATCCACTCTGGTGCCTACCTTGTTGAGGTGCCTAGCAAAGAAAAAGAACCGTGCCCTCTTAGAGCATACAGTCTGGCCAAGGAGACAAATGTTAAGCAAAACAAAAGAAAGTCACACAATGAGTTAGAAAATAGGGGAGCACAAGCATAGGTAGAGCATCTAACAGGCTGACTCATCTGGGATGGGAAAGGCCTGGAAGCCTTCGAAGGGCGTGATGTTCCCACTGCTCAGGAAGGTGAGCACTAGACAGGGAAAGGGAGCCGGACTCTATAAAGAAGGAATGGCCTGTGCCACGTGCCCCACGGCAGAAAAGAAAAGGAGGAAAAGCACTGAAAGAAGGTGCTGTGGCCAGGGCAGAGGCATCCCGGAGGGAGCACAGAACCGGCAAGGCCTCAGAGGTGTTGGTAAAGGCTCGGGATTTTATCCTAAGAGCCTTAGTAATTATTTGAGGAGTTTTCAGCAGAGAAGGGGTCAGATCAGATTACCATTTTTAAAAGACCTCCGTGGTTCCTATCTGTGGAAAATGGGCTAGACCTGACAAGATTGGAGATATGCTCAGGTATATGTCCAGGCATAGATACAGAGAAGGCAGGATTAGAGCTTTGCGGAAGGAAACAACCAAAGGACAGAGGAGAGACAGGGTAAAAGATGCGCTGCAATGACATAATGGGGAGTAGGTACAGGAGGGCAGGCCCAGGAAGGGCTGGTGGTGGGAAGGCTGAGGCATTAGCAGACCAGGGTCCCAATGAGAACAAGGACTGTCATAGTGGGGTGGATAAAAGCTGGAAGGAGATGCTTCACAGAGGAGCCAATAAACCAGGATGTTGGGGTGCAGGAAGTGAAGCCATTTTGGGGTACAATGCCCCAGATGGGATCTGGCAGAAGGAAGCGATGGGAGAACAGGAGAGGATGACACTAAGATGGTAAAAGGACAAAGCCCAGGTTTCTGAAGAGGACCATGTCAGACTGGCCCTAAGTCCCAGTTCCTGGAAGAAGCAGAACAGCTCAGTCATGTGGAGGGTCTTCTGGAATGATAGGGTTAGACTCCTGGACAGTCTTTGGGAAGACTCCTACATCCCCTCAAGCCTCGCCACTTCCCATTGCATAAGCGTTTGGCTTGACTAAATAAAAGCAACTATTATCACAGTCATTTAGAGATCCACAAGCATGTTGGATGAACGGTTCAGCATGTATTCCTAGGACAACCATGTGCATCATAAGCAGAAGAGTTACTGATCACAAACTGGCTCCCGTTCCCATGGTCTCAGCCTTTGGCTCGTGCCCCACAGAAAGACTGCTACATCACCTGCACCGCACACAGGGCTCTATCCTGTCCCTCTTACTAGACTATAAAGTCAGGGCAGGTCAGTATGCTTCCTTCGCAGTTCCTCACACCATGCCTGGGATATAGTGAATGCTCAGGAAAGAGTGAATCAATCCCATTTATATGAAGTACAAAACTGGCGAAACTAATTAATATTGTTAAAAGTAAATGTAATGGTTCTACCCTGGGTGGGGAGGGTGATTGGAGGGGAGTATGAGTGTTATATTTCTTGATCTGGGTGCTGTTCATATGGATATATTCCCTCAAAAGTCATTGTCTGTATGATTTGTAATTTTTTCTGTACATACATTACATTTTGATAATTTTTCAAATGGGTGGATGAATCAGTGGTGGAATCTAACTTAGCTTAAACTTGAAATGCTTCACTAATGTAGGATTCCAACAGCAAACGAAGACAGGGGTGGCAAATATTTTCTATAAAAGGCCAGATATTAAATGTCTGAGGCTTTGCAAACCACATGGTCTCTGTCACAACTACTCAGTTTTGCTGCTCTAGCACAGAAGTAGCCATAGATAATGCGTAAATGAGTGTGGCTGTGTCCCAACAAAATGTACATATGAACACTGAACTTTGAGTTTCATATAATTTTCACATTTCCTGAAATAACACTCTTATTTTTTTTTTTTAGATCATTCAAAAATTTAAAAACCATTCTTAGCTATCCAGCTGTTCAAAAACAGGCTGCAGGCCAGATTTGGCCGGCAGGATGTAGTTTGGCTGACCCCTGCACTAAGAGGGTGTGCATATAAAACACATTTCCCATCCTGCATACATTCCTCAGCCTGTCCTCCCCACGACCTGCCCCTCAAATGTTCTCCCACCTTTATAAGTAGGAAGACACTCCATCTTGTCACCACATGGATATTTACTGTCCCGAGGTTTTATGGGGCCCACTCGACAGACCGGATAGGGGTTGTAATCTTGCTTATAGGTTGTGAGCAAATCCATATTCTCTTCACTTGGGATGAACTGGTCATGCTGGTGGATCTTCACTGGTAACACTTTGTGAGGCCCAAAATCTCTTCTGTAAGAAAAACACATGCATCAGCGGGGCCCTTGGCTCAAATAATGTTCATGGGTTCTATGCAACCCAATGTTACAAGTATTTGCTGAGAAGTCATCTTCTGCTCTGTCCCTCTACTGCTCTTCCTCCTCTCTCTCCTACTTTTGAGAAAGGCACACCCTTCTCTTCTCGCCCGAGTCAGACACCAGGACACTGTCCACAACCGGCCCCCTCTCAGGGCCAGGCTCTCACCAAGTGCAGCTCCTCCACCTCGTGCGTTTGTCAGTCCCCTTTGGTTCAGACTGTGATGGGGCTTCACTTAATCATGTAACAATGTACCACGTGGACTTCCTGCTTCATTCCCACCACTTCTACTTCAGTTCCCATAGTGTGGCCAGAATAAACTCTCTAAAATGGAAATTGGGGCTTTTCATTCCCCAGCTGAAATAATCTTGCAGATAAAGCTTGATTCTCTAGCATGCTTTATAAGCTCTCCTGGACCTGTCTCTGCCTCATTCCCCAGCCTCATCTCCCACCTCTCCTGCTGACCCACAGGCAAGGCCTCTTCCTTCTCTCTCCTCACTGTGGAGCTAACTTCTATTTTTCAGGTTCCACCACCTCCTTGTCTGCGCTCCCTAATCCTGCTTAATGTTTGTCTTCTCCCTCTACTTATCTTACAGAAAACCCAGAAGGACAGAAAAGTACAATAAAGCGGGCTCTCTGGCATCAATGCCCCCACTATTTCAGGGGACATGAAAACAGTGGGATACCAAAAGCAAGATGGCCTTCAAGAAACAGGAAGCACTCACCTCCCAGAGCACCCCACGGTTATACAACTGCCAAGATGTTAACCGTACCACCACCAGGAACCAGCCTGGCAATGACAGGGCTCAGCAAGGGTTTACACTGCCCACCAGGGGAATCTCAGCTTCCTACTGCTCAATGCAAGCTATTGTAAGCAAACATTGCCCTTGCTCCCAAGGGCTTCTGCTTTATGCAACAGCCTGCTTTTGCCTGGAACCCATTTATCCCACTGGACAAGTAGAAGGGAGATTTTCCCTAATGGTGCTTGCCAAAACAGCTTTGCCAAGGGAAGGGGGAGGTTTCCGGACAGGAAAACATCAGGCTCAAACACCAATAAAATCTACTTCCCGGCTGAAATCTGGAGCAGCATTACTGAGCCATGCTTGACTAGCAAAGGTAACACGCTCCACTGTAACCTGTCTTGCATGAATTATACACATGGGTGTCAATAAACCCAAACCAGGCCCTGAAAATGCCTGGTAGGATGGGAGGAGGGAGTTAGGAAGCAGGAGAATTAGCCTCTGTAGGGGTCTAAGGAGGAAATGGGAGATGCTCCACTTGAACTCCCAGTGACACCCTCTGGGTAGGTTTAAAAATATATCTCAGCAGCTGTTACAAGGTCTTCAGCCTGGTTTCCCTTCCCAAGGGCCCCCTATTGGCAAACAGCAAGAGGAAGCTGAGTGACCTGAGGGGTCTGGAAGCTGGCTGTGTATAAACCAGAGCTTATGGAGTGAACAGGCTAAACAGGAACCCAAGGGTCATTTCCACATTTCTACTCTTCTTAGGGTCCAAGTACTTCATGCTGGCATCCTTTTAATACTAAACCAATTGCAGCAGGGAGCAAGAAGCATAGGTACCAGGCTGCAGAAAAAAATGGGAATGCCCAAAAAGCCCTGTCTGAAAACATTAACTACAAAGCAGCTTTTATCAGAAAGTTTGCATTCTATGGGGAGTGCCCCCAAAGGAAGTGAGCTCTCCTCACTCCCAGAAGGGGTAGTGAGGGGCTTGCAGGCAGTCTGAGACCACACATCCCCATGTAAACCCGTGTTCATCAATGGCTGCTCAAGTGATCAGTACTCTTCAGCTCCAAGAACGAGTATCAGGAAAGACCGAGGCAAGCAATGAGCAACAAAGCCAAATGCTCAAGGGCCCCCACGGAGCCCTCCCAACCACAGAGAAGCCAAGAGTGCTTTCCAGTCACAGGCCTGCCTACCCTGGGACCCTTCACACAGACCATGACATCCTCTTCTGCCCTTACTTCTCCTGAGGGAAGCACTACCTTCCCATCAGAGTTGCTGTGAGAACCTCCTTCCAAAGTCGCCAAGGCCTCTGGCAGTTACACTTAATACCCCACATCTCCCGCTGTTTCTCCAGGAAAAAAGCATGTGCATGCGCACAACCAAACTCACCAGTTCACGCACTGTCCTGAAGCTGGTTACTCAAAGGCAAAAACTGAGGCAGCAAAATCCTTGCTCGGTATGTTTAGAGAATGAAATTGTTAACTGAATCTCCTTCTCCAGTACAAAATTCAAGTTCCTTTGTGAAAAGTACATCTATGGTTGAATTTACGGATCAGCTATAACTAGGGCAAACGATCTTTGGGGAGTGGGGGGCTGATCTACAACTGAAGATAGGAAAAGTTTTAAGTTTCATTTATACACCACCCAAAAATATTTATTGTAGCTTAAGAGTGAATTTAACAGACTGTGTTTTCTCATTGTTTTTATGTTGAGAACATTCTCTGAAACCTATCATTAACCACAATATAATGGCATGTCCCCAGTCTCACATAACCTTACAGCTTTTAAATTCACAAAGAAGTATTTTATTCTTACCAGAATTTTCTCAGCCTCAGTAGTTTTTTTTTTAAGAATACTCCCTTCTCTTCCTGTGTTAAATCTCCTAGTCCCTGTGCCCATTGTGACTATGAGCCCAGAAAAAAATCGGTCAAAGATGTTAAGCTTCTTCTAGTTGCACATCCGTAAAAGTTATATAGTATGGAAGGCCAAGAGTTAAACTCCAAGTTAAGTAAAGGTTAAAGTCGCCCTGCTGGGAAAGTCATAACAACTTGACTTCCAATCATTAGGCAAAGCTAGACAGAGGTGTTTGACAAGAGTCTGACAAAAGGAAAAAAGAAATAACATAACAACCAACTAGGGTCATGAACCTGGAAGTAGGAAATGGAGATTTTCACCATGATAAAATGGTTATATGACATATTTTATTTAAAACTACATTCAACTATAAAAACTCTAGAATTTCTTAGTGTGCCCAATTTATCAATCATCTTAAATGGAATTCATTTTAAAATTTCCTCCTCTTGCCCAAAGCCACTCTCCAACTCTACCCTAAAACCTCTCCTTTCTCAGGAACCTGTCCATGGACTACCTCCTAGTCTGTGGTTTAACCTTTACCTCCTGCTGGCTTTTTTCTGTCAGTATTTAAACACGGTCCAGTCTTTCCCATCCTTAAAGGAAAAAAAAATAAAATATGACACAACCTTGAGTGCAGTCCGCTCCCCTCCTATTCTCTCCCCTAGAAAGGCGTGTCTGCACGCGGGCTTGCCTGCCTCGCCCCCACTCCTCCTGTCAGACGGGGATCCTCCTCAGTCTGCCCCAGCCGCGGCCACAAAGCACCACCTTGTTTCCGAAGCCAGTCACTGCTCCTTAGGCCTTCATCCTGCGCCATTCCAACAGCGTCCATCCTCCCACTCATTCTTTGCTAATATTCTCTCCCCGCCTTGACCTCTCTGACACCCCTCCTCGTGGTCTGTCCTCTCTCTCAATCTCCTTTGAGATTGCTGTTTGTCAATTGATTTAGTTTAATTCCTTCCACACACAATCCTAAATTTTTCCAGGGTTAAAAGGTACGCTCTAAGGAAATCAGTACATCATCACAGGTGGGTTGGGGAACCCATGCCAGCACACTGAGAAAGACCCTTAGGCCGATGCACAGGATTTGATTCATGCCTCTGATCCTGATAAGGACACACTGAGCCCTCCTTATCTTCACTGACAGATGGGATTCCAAGTACCTGCCTCCAGGATTCAAGTCACACAGCACCTGTCCCCTGTTCCACTCTCTCATCAACTCACCCCTACTAAAGCTGAAGCTAATATCCGTTACCACTTCATATAAACTCTGGACAAAATATAAAAAAATAACTCCTCGTGAATACTAAAGAGCATTCAAAATAGGCAGATTCTGGAACAGAGCCAACAGATAGAGGAAGGGAATGGTATTGGGTGAGCCTCTGTGTAACTTTCCGTTTTTTTCAAAGTTTCCAGTCTGAAGGCAGGCTTCAGTCTGTGCCAAGCCAGGCAGCTAAAATGTGAAGAAAAACCTTCCTCCTTGCTTAACCACAGAACCAGGGGACCAAGTTTGAGGCAACCACAGGTGCTGGGAAGTGAGGAAGGAATCCTGGAAAGGAGAGAACCGGAGACAAGAAGCTTCAATATCTCTTTGTAAACTGGGCCCAAATCTCTGGCTGACCTCACATGCACGAGGCAGACCTCAGGCAGTCACACTAAAGAGAAAGAGCTGAGCTGAGATTTGAGCTGCCACCCAAGACACAGAGTTTGCAGTTGGAACCCAATCAACTTATCTCCTATCTGCCTTTAAACACACACACACACACACACACACACACACACACACACTTTTGAAGGAATGTAAAAAAAAAAAAAAGTCCAGAGTCTCCACAACATAACCTTAACAAAATACAGGATCAATCCAAAATTAGTTGACATATAGAGAAAAATGTGATCCATTCTCAAGGAAAAAATAATAATCATGAAGACCAACCCCAAGCAAACCCAGATGTTAGAATTAGCAAAAATTTTAAAGCAACTGTTTTAACTATGCTCCATTACAAAAAGCAAAATAAGGCTATAATGAATTAAAAGATCAGAAATCACAGAAGAGAAATAGGAACTACCTGAAAAGAACCAAATTTAAGTCCTAAAATTGAAAAAAATACATATATACAAATAAAACCTTCACTGGACAAGCTTAGTAGAGTGAAGGGGAGGAGAGGCTCAGTGAACTTGCAGATGGATGAATAAAAACTATCCAATTTGGAAAACAGAAAAAGGGGGTGGATGAAAGAAATTAACAGAGCCTCAGAGACAGAAAAAAATACTTTGAAGAAATAATGAACAATACATCCCCAAAATTAATCAAAGATGTGCAACATCAAAGGCTCTGAAATTGCCCAGGCAAGGCTAGTGCTGAGACCTATTTCTGGATGTTTTCATTAGTTCTCAAGCCCAATCTACAGAGGGAGTAAGTATATGCTCAGGGTTGCAGCTCTGAGAAGTATGTATTTGGACAGAAATATGGGTTGTGAAAGATTCAAACCTATGACAACTTTCTTGCTTCTTTTCTGGCTTTCAGAGAAGATTCCAAATGCTTTTTCTCTTCTAGCTCTTCCTTCCCTTACTCTCCCCAGTTTGCTCAGGAATCATAATAAATGAAGAAATCTTTGCTGCCAACTCCCTGCCCTCTACCCTTCAGCCAAACCCATCACATCTGAACCCAGTTCCACCTCCCCACCTCGCACTCCTAGTTCTCACTGCCCATGGTCCCCCTTCCTAGAGAATAAAGGTCTGACACCAAGGTCTTGAAGACTCAGCTCTTTTTTATGAATCTATCCACTCTGCCATCTTCAGAGGTTTAGCTAACAAAATAATGTCCCAAAATGGGACCCAAGTGTTTTACATGGTGACATGCCTAAGGGGAAATGAGGCTTGAAGTGCAAACCCCTTATTCATAAATTGATCTCACGTCTATCTGAACTAAAGGCAGTTCCCATGTGACAGAATTACCAAGGCCTTCAAGAAACAGTTTCATATAAGAAGGGCTGAAAATCACAAGCATTCCCCTCATGGCACCTGCTGTAAATCCCCAAGATTTACAGTCAGTAGGAGTTGCGTGCAGCTGTAATCATGCCTCATGCTGGGATGATAACCTTTCCAGAAACCAGGTGTTTTTTGTGTCTGGGCTTAATCACCAAACCCAGCCAAGCCCTGGGCCACATGACTTTTTCATTCAGCAGGTGGCAGCCCCATGTCCAATCTCAGAAACTAAGCTGGGTCTGACTTCAGACAGGGAAGTGGGTGGGCCATTCCAATACTGAGGGTTCTCAGGGCAGAAGGATGACAGCCACGCAGATACAGCGGAGAGCAGACAGAGAGCTGACCTAGCCCTTCCCCCAGAAGCCTCTGGTGGAGCACCCAGATGATGGCTTCCCTGCGTTCCCAGTAGGGAATGGTTTTATTGTATGTACACACATATGGGCCAGAGCCTCTGCTAAGTTTATAAGGTTGAGAAAAGATGATTGGTTAAATTGGTTTTTGTTAATTTATCTCAATAAAAGCTCATATGAACTCCAAAAAAAAAATGCATTCGGATAGGAACACACTTGTGTTCTCAGTCTGAAAACCAGGACCCTGCACGGCAGGCACAGGCCTGAGAAATGATGAAACTGACCTACAGGGCAGAGAAGAAATGCCCTCTGCTCATTTCCCCCTTAGTTCTCTTTCTGGAGAAAGAAATAAAGGAGAGCAGAGGAGCTTTTCTATTCTTTTTCCTTCCCATGGATCCTTTTTAAGGCCCTTATGATTATCAGTAGCTTGTGTTGGAAATTCTCTCAGTACCTGCCTTCCTCCAAATTAGCCACAGCTTGACATGAGTGATCTTGTGACTCTGGCTCTGACAGGGACAGAGGGAACTTCTGGGTGATATGTTTATTGTTGTCAGTGACATGAGGCAAGGATAATTTAGGACAGGTCAGAGGGGAAGTTGTTTTGCAAAGAACCATGAGGAGGAGTAAGGGTGTTGGGCCTCTATGGAGTGACCTCAGAGCTAGGTGACAGGGCAGGGCTCCTATCCTGGAGGGAGGGTTTGTCCTCATTCTCTTAAGCTTGTGGGCAACAAATAAAGAGCATCCTTCAACATCCATCAGACCAGGACTCCCTCCCTGTCCAGTGGTTCCCACCAAGATCAGGAATCCCTTTACTCCATTTTTCCCCCTGTGGGTCTTTCTGCCCCATAACCAACACATGGACTTCCTTTGGATCCAGAAGATGGCAGCTTTTTGTAGGAACACCTCATATCTCCAACCCACAATGTCAAAAGAAGATGTTTTCAGGTCTATCCTGGGGAAAACCTGGAGGCAGAATGAATTAGAGCTGTTCTGCATAGCCTGGCCCAGCTGGGACCTTTACTAGAAAAGCACAAAATTATAAGCAAAGGGGAAGCAATAGGAAGAAAATTTACAGGTCTTGAATCTTATAATGTGCAGGCACTATGCCAGAACAATTTACATATCCTATCATCTGCACCTCACAACGATCCTGCCCTGTAGGACTAGGAACGTCAGAGGCAGGGAAGGCATCCATCTTTCAGGCCTCACCTAGGGACAGAGCCGTATCATCTGAGACAGTGCTGAACTGCACTCCAAAGTGATTTTGCTCGCTAGGTCATCAGTCACAGGTCCCCACCTGGAGGTCACTAACTGAACTGTCAATAGCAGATTCTCCCAGAGTCCTGCAATGCTGAGACGGATCATTTCCCCCCACCCTCTCAGTACAGGTACCTCTGCAACTCTGATACACAGGGCCAGGTAGTTCAGTCTCTGCGCAGTCCTGGATGTAAGGAATCAGAGTTTAGAAGTCAAGAGCAATTTAAAAGGAGATATTCTTTGTTCATATTCTTGAAGAACATTCAAGGGGACCCCAGTTCAAAATCTGTGGCATCATTTTTTTAAAAGTTCCTTCTTTGTTACCAAGTTCTCTTTCACCAAGACTACCATCATTACATCACCCAAGTCGACCTGGAGTTTATGCGTCAAAGCCCAAAAGTCCTTTTTCGGCAGCAGCCCCTTTCCATCCCTTTATTACTTTACTTAACTTCTAACCCTTTATTATGTAATCAAGTTAGCCTTCCTCACCCCTGCTTCAGCAAGTAAGAACTCTTTCTCTTTAAGAGGAAGTTGGGAAAAACTGAGCATGCTAATAAAAGCAGGATGTTCTTTCAGAGATACAGTATATTGACATGAAAGGCTTTAATAGCATGCACTGATCATGCACTGATGCTGTGCATTCTATCAGTACTGCACATTACTCCATTAGTGTACTACTTGCCCTCACCTCGATGTGCTCAGGCCTTCCATTGGCACGGACGCTTTCAGGTACTCCAGCTTGGGCTTGAAGGACCCTCTGGGCAGGTGAGAGTGATAGAGGGGGTAGTTCTCGGTGTATTCGGAGATGAGACATGGTTTCTCTGTTTTATCGTAAATCTTCGTAGGGAGATGGGGACAGTGATGCCGCCTGTAAAAAAAGCACATGAAGTCAGGCTGGTTACCTTCTTGGGAAGAACACAGCCAGTCCAATAACGTTACTGCCTCAAAATGTGACCCAGACTAGAAAATCAAGACTGTCAGCTTTGAAAACAGCAGTTTAACCCTTCCTTTTTCTCTTCTAAACTATGTAAAGTGGCCAGAATTTTTTTAGTGACCTGTAACTGCAATTGGTTAGCCATCAGAATCCCTTGGACACAGAAACAGGGCCAATATCCAGCCCTTCCACATGTCATACTGCTTTTTCAAATACTGAAATACTTCCACAGCATAATAGGTAAATGGTTGTGCCCACCCCGCCCCACCCCCATCTGAGTGCCACTTCCAGCTGCGCTCCTGAGACCTCCCTGGGCTTGCCAATCACGCAGCAATTCTGGGCTTAATATATGCCTAACTGGGTGCCCCAAGGCTGTGTGCTAGGGCATCTTTCCTAATCGGTCTGGTTCCTGGGCCAACTCAGAGTATCCCCCGTGCACACCAGTGCCTCAGTGATGGCAGGACCACCTTGGCGCTGAGTAGACTAAACACCATGGGCTGTGTGCAACCATTTCACACTGAAAATCTACCTCATTTACTTTTGGGGGTCTCATCTTAACTGTTGCCTCCTTAGAAAGGCTCCCAACTGATTATCTTCACTTGCGGTAACACCCCACCAGGCCTGCCCCTCACACACAGCTTCTTTGTCATTGTGGATGCCGTCCCCATCAGGTATCGCTGTCGGTAACCAGCATGTCCGTTCATGAGTCTGTTGTCTGTCTCATCCATCAAGCTCAGGAGCTTTCCTATCTTGTCCACTGTTACAAACCTAGTCCCTCATATCCTGCCTGGCACATGTTTTGCTTTCAATAAAAACATACTGAACAAATAACAATAAATAAATGAGTAATTATATAAACTTTATGCCTCATTACACAAGAAGATGACAGATAATAATTTGAAGTTATAATGTGTGGTTAGCTTTCCCATTTTACATGCATAGCAATAAATGAAAATTATTTTACTTACTGGTGAACAAAGGGTAACTGAACTCTCAAAATCTAAGTAGTATATCAATTATTTATATGCCTACATACAGTCCTTACAAACGAGCTGTGCACTGCTAGCCCTCAGGCACCAGCACACCAACAAAATCCATGTTAGTGATTCCTAACTTAGTTATAGTCAATGCCTTAGACAGGCATTCAATTATCTTTTAAATTTTTACACTGATTTTTAATTATAGAAACTAAGATACAGAGTACTCTGGGTCAGAAGAGAGAAAGAGACCCTAGAGAATCCATATCTGCTCTAATCTAAAGCAATTTTCCAGGCAACAGTTAGCATGCTATTCCTGTTGTTAATTAAGTTCAACTCTCTATGTAAATGTTGCTGCCACCACTGTGACTATGTACTTCTTGTCAACCTCTCAGCCCCAGAGAAAATGATGAACATCTGTATTGACCGCGGCCACAAAGCACCACCTTGTTTCCGAAGCCAGTCACTGCTCCTTAGGCCTTCATCCTGCGCCATTCCAACAGCGTCCATCCTCCCACTCATTCTTTGCTAATATTCTCTCCCCGCCTTGACCTCTCTGACACCCCTCCTCGTGGTCTGTCCTCTCTCTCAATCTCCTTTGAGATTGCTGTTTGTCAATTGATTTAGTTTAATTCCTTCCACACACAATCCTAAATTTTTCCAGGGTTAAAAGGTACGCTCTAAGGAAATCAGTACATCATCACAGGTGGGTTGGGGAACCCATGCCAGCACACTGAGAAAGACCCTTAGGCCGATGCACAGGATTTGATTCATGCCTCTGATCCTGATAAGGACACACTGAGCCCTCCTTATCTTCACTGACAGATGGGATTCCAAGTACCTGCCTCCAGGATTCAAGTCACACAGCACCTGTCCCCTGTTCCACTCTCTCATCAACTCACCCCTACTAAAGCTGAAGCTAATATCCGTTACCACTTCATATAAACTCTGGACAAAATATAAAAAAATAACTCCTCGTGAATACTAAAGAGCATTCAAAATAGGCAGATTCTGGAACAGAGCCAACAGATAGAGGAAGGGAATGGTATTGGGTGAGCCTCTGTGTAACTTTCCGTTTTTTTCAAAGCTTCCAGTCTGAAGGCAGGCTTCAGTCTGTGCCAAGCCAGGCAGCTAAAATGTGAAGAAAAACCTTCCTCCTTGCTTAACCACAGAACCAGGGGACCAAGTTTGAGGCAACCACAGGTGCTGGGAAGTGAGGAAGGAATCCTGGAAAGGAGAGAACCGGAGACAAGAAGCTTCAATATCTCTTTGTAAACTGGGCCCAAATCTCTGGCTGACCTCACATGCACGAGGCAGACCTCAGGCAGTCACACTAAAGAGAAAGAGCTGAGCTGAGATTTGAGCTGCCACCCAAGACACAGAGTTTGCAGTTGGAACCCAATCAACTTATCTCCTATCTGCCTTTAAACACACACACACACACACACACACACACACACACACACTTTTGAAGGAATGTAAAAAAAAAAAAAAGTCCAGAGTCTCCACAACATAACCTTAACAAAATACAGGATCAATCCAAAATTAGTTGACATATAGAGAAAAATGTGATCCATTCTCAAGGAAAAAATAATAATCATGAAGACCAACCCCAAGCAAACCCAGATGTTAGAATTAGCAAAAATTTTAAAGCAACTGTTTTAACTATGCTCCATTACAAAAAGCAAAATAAGGCTATAATGAATTAAAAGATCAGAAATCACAGAAGAGAAATAGGAACTACCTGAAAAGAACCAAATTTAAGTCCTAAAATTGAAAAAAATACATATATACAAATAAAACCTTCACTGGACAAGCTTAGTAGAGTGAAGGGGAGGAGAGGCTCAGTGAACTTGCAGATGGATGAATAAAAACTATCCAATTTGGAAAACAGAAAAAGGGGGTGGATGAAAGAAATTAACAGAGCCTCAGAGACAGAAAAAAATACTTTGAAGAAATAATGAACAATACATCCCCAAAATTAATCAAAGATGTGCAACATCAAAGGCTCTGAAATTGCCCAGGCAAGGCTAGTGCTGAGACCTATTTCTGGATGTTTTCATTAGTTCTCAAGCCCAATCTACAGAGGGAGTAAGTATATGCTCAGGGTTGCAGCTCTGAGAAGTATGTATTTGGACAGAAATATGGGTTGTGAAAGATTCAAACCTATGACAACTTTCTTGCTTCTTTTCTGGCTTTCAGAGAAGATTCCAAATGCTTTTTCTCTTCTAGCTCTTCCTTCCCTTACTCTCCCCAGTTTGCTCAGGAATCATAATAAATGAAGAAATCTTTGCTGCCAACTCCCTGCCCTCTACCCTTCAGCCAAACCCATCACATCTGAACCCAGTTCCACCTCCCCACCTCGCACTCCTAGTTCTCACTGCCCATGGTCCCCCTTCCTAGAGAATAAAGGTCTGACACCAAGGTCTTGAAGACTCAGCTCTTTTTTATGAATCTATCCACTCTGCCATCTTCAGAGGTTTAGCTAACAAAATAATGTCCCAAAATGGGACCCAAGTGTTTTACATGGTGACATGCCTAAGGGGAAATGAGGCTTGAAGTGCAAACCCCTTATTCATAAATTGATCTCACGTCTATCTGAACTAAAGGCAGTTCCCATGTGACAGAATTACCAAGGCCTTCAAGAAACAGTTTCATATAAGAAGGGCTGAAAATCACAAGCATTCCCCTCATGGCACCTGCTGTAAATCCCCAAGATTTACAGTCAGTAGGAGTTGCGTGCAGCTGTAATCATGCCTCATGCTGGGATGATAACCTTTCCAGAAACCAGGTGTTTTTTGTGTCTGGGCTTAATCACCAAACCCAGCCAAGCCCTGGGCCACATGACTTTTTCATTCAGCAGGTGGCAGCCCCATGTCCAATCTCAGAAACTAAGCTGGGTCTGACTTCAGACAGGGAAGTGGGTGGGCCATTCCAATACTGAGGGTTCTCAGGGCAGAAGGATGACAGCCACGCAGATACAGCGGAGAGCAGACAGAGAGCTGACCTAGCCCTTCCCCCAGAAGCCTCTGGTGGAGCACCCAGATGATGGCTTCCCTGCGTTCCCAGTAGGGAATGGTTTTATTGTATGTACACACATATGGGCCAGAGCCTCTGCTAAGTTTATAAGGTTGAGAAAAGATGATTGGTTAAATTGGTTTTTGTTAATTTATCTCAATAAAAGCTCATATGAACTCCAAAAAAAAAATGCATTCGGATAGGAACACACTTGTGTTCTCAGTCTGAAAACCAGGACCCTGCACGGCAGGCACAGGCCTGAGAAATGATGAAACTGACCTACAGGGCAGAGAAGAAATGCCCTCTGCTCATTTCCCCCTTAGTTCTCTTTCTGGAGAAAGAAATAAAGGAGAGCAGAGGAGCTTTTCTATTCTTTTTCCTTCCCATGGATCCTTTTTAAGGCCCTTATGATTATCAGTAGCTTGTGTTGGAAATTCTCTCAGTACCTGCCTTCCTCCAAATTAGCCACAGCTTGACATGAGTGATCTTGTGACTCTGGCTCTGACAGGGACAGAGGGAACTTCTGGGTGATATGTTTATTGTTGTCAGTGACATGAGGCAAGGATAATTTAGGACAGGTCAGAGGGGAAGTTGTTTTGCAAAGAACCATGAGGAGGAGTAAGGGTGTTGGGCCTCTATGGAGTGACCTCAGAGCTAGGTGACAGGGCAGGGCTCCTATCCTGGAGGGAGGGTTTGTCCTCATTCTCTTAAGCTTGTGGGCAACAAATAAAGAGCATCCTTCAACATCCATCAGACCAGGACTCCCTCCCTGTCCAGTGGTTCCCACCAAGATCAGGAATCCCTTTACTCCATTTTTCCCCCTGTGGGTCTTTCTGCCCCATAACCAACACATGGACTTCCTTTGGATCCAGAAGATGGCAGCTTTTTGTAGGAACACCTCATATCTCCAACCCACAATGTCAAAAGAAGATGTTTTCAGGTCTATCCTGGGGAAAACCTGGAGGCAGAATGAATTAGAGCTGTTCTGCATAGCCTGGCCCAGCTGGGACCTTTACTAGAAAAGCACAAAATTATAAGCAAAGGGGAAGCAATAGGAAGAAAATTTACAGGTCTTGAATCTTATAATGTGCAGGCACTATGCCAGAACAATTTACATATCCTATGATCTGCACCTCACAATGATCCTGCCCTGTAGGACTAGGAACGTCAGAGGCAGGGAAGGCATCCATCTTTCAGGCCTCACCTAGGGACAGAGCCGTATCATCTGAGACAGTGCTGAACTGCACTCCAAAGTGATTTTGCTCGCTAGGTCATCAGTCACAGGTCCCCACCTGGAGGTCACTAACTGAACTGTCAATAGCAGATTCTCCCAGAGTCCTGCAATGCTGAGACGGATCATTTCCCCCCACCCTCTCAGTACAGGTACCTCTGCAACTCTGATACACAGGGCCAGGTAGTTCAGTCTCTGCGCAGTCCTGGATGTAAGGAATCAGAGTTTAGAAGTCAAGAGCAATTTAAAAGGAGATATTCTTTGTTCATATTCTTGAAGAACATTCAAGGGGACCCCAGTTCAAAATCTGTGGCATCATTTTTTTAAAAGTTCCTTCTTTGTTACCAAGTTCTCTTTCACCAAGACTACCATCATTACATCACCCAAGTCGACCTGGAGTTTATGCGTCAAAGCCCAAAAGTCCTTTTTCGGCAGCAGCCCCTTTCCATCCCTTTATTACTTTACTTAACTTCTAACCCTTTATTATGTAATCAAGTTAGCCTTCCTCACCCCTGCTTCAGCAAGTAAGAACTCTTTCTCTTTAAGAGGAAGTTGGGAAAAACTGAGCATGCTAATAAAAGCAGGATGTTCTTTCAGAGATACAGTATATTGACATGAAAGGCTTTAATAGCATGCACTGATCATGCACTGATGCTGTGCATTCTATCAGTACTGCACATTACTCCATTAGTGTACTACTTGCCCTCACCTCGATGTGCTCAGGCCTTCCATTGGCACGGACGCTTTCAGGTACTCCAGCTTGGGCTTGAAGGACCCTCTGGGCAGGTGAGAGTGATAGAGGGGGTAGTTCTCGGTGTATTCGGAGATGAGACATGGTTTCTCTGTTTTATCGTAAATCTTCGTAGGGAGATGGGGACAGTGATGCCGCCTGTAAAAAAAGCACATGAAGTCAGGCTGGTTACCTTCTTGGGAAGAACACAGCCAGTCCAATAACGTTACTGCCTCAAAATGTGACCCAGACTAGAAAATCAAGACTGTCAGCTTTGAAAACAGCAGTTTAACCCTTCCTTTTTCTCTTCTAAACTATGTAAAGTGGCCAGAATTTTTTTAGTGACCTGTAACTGCAATTGGTTAGCCATCAGAATCCCTTGGACACAGAAACAGGGCCAATATCCAGCCCTTCCACATGTCATACTGCTTTTTCAAATACTGAAATACTTCCACAGCATAATAGGTAAATGGTTGTGCCCACCCCGCCCCACCCCCATCTGAGTGCCACTTCCAGCTGCGCTCCTGAGACCTCCCTGGGCTTGCCAATCACGCAGCAATTCTGGGCTTAATATATGCCTAACTGGGTGCCCCAAGGCTGTGTGCTAGGGCATCTTTCCTAATCGGTCTGGTTCCTGGGCCAACTCAGAGTATCCCCCGTGCACACCAGTGCCTCAGTGATGGCAGGACCACCTTGGCGCTGAGTAGACTAAACACCATGGGCTGTGTGCAACCATTTCACACTGAAAATCTACCTCATTTACTTTTGGGGGTCTCATCTTAACTGTTGCCTCCTTAGAAAGGCTCCCAACTGATTATCTTCACTTGCGGTAACACCCCACCAGGCCTGCCCCTCACACACAGCTTCTTTGTCATTGTGGATGCCGTCCCCATCAGGTATCGCTGTCGGTAACCAGCATGTCCGTTCATGAGTCTGTTGTCTGTCTCATCCATCAAGCTCAGGAGCTTTCCTATCTTGTCCACTGTTACAAACCTAGTCCCTCATATCCTGCCTGGCACATGTTTTGCTTTCAATAAAAACATACTGAACAAATAACAATAAATAAATGAGTAATTATATAAACTTTATGCCTCATTACACAAGAAGATGACAGATAATAATTTGAAGTTATAATGTGTGGTTAGCTTTCCCATTTTACATGCATAGCAATAAATGAAAATTATTTTACTTACTGGTGAACAAAGGGTAACTGAACTCTCAAAATCTAAGTAGTATATCAATTATTTATATGCCTACATACAGTCCTTACAAACGAGCTGTGCACTGCTAGCCCTCAGGCACCAGCACACCAACAAAATCCATGTTAGTGATTCCTAACTTAGTTATAGTCAATGCCTTAGACAGGCATTCAATTATCTTTTAAATTTTTACACTGATTTTTAATTATAGAAACTAAGATACAGAGTACTCTGGGTCAGAAGAGAGAAAGAGACCCTAGAGAACCCATATCTGCTCTAATCTAAAGCAATTTTCCAGGCAACAGTTAGCATGCTATTCCTGTTGTTAATTAAGTTCAACTCTCTATGTAAATGTTGCTGCCACCACTGTGACTATGTACTTCTTGTCAACCTCTCAGCCCCAGAGAAAATGATGAACATCTGTATTGTTCATGTGGCTAGAACTGCATATGAACAAATACTTTCAGAGATATCCTTATTTATTTTCTTCTCATTTATAGATTGTATGTTGAAAAGCCTTAGGATGCTATAAACTTGACAAATTTACTTATTTTTGTTATTATAAAATTACAATAGGTTCATGATGAGTATTTTAGATTCTCCTAGTTATTTACAAGGAAATCTTCCATAAATTGCTGTCCTTATAGTGTGAGTGTCTGAATTTCAGTGTTAAATACATTCAATAAAAGTTTAGTTTTCCTTTTTCAAAATGTACATTACATTGTCGGCACTTAATGTACAAGGATGAATGCACACTTATATTTTATGTATTTAATAAAATATCTCCTAATCTTAGATACCTAAATTGATGAATACTTTAATCTTCTATCCACTCAAAAAATAAATTGTTGTTTGCACAGTAGACAAAACAATCATCTCCCACAGAATATAAACATTAGCTATTACCATTTCTGTGTTTGCAATCAGTCCAATTATTTGAGATTTCAATCTGAACTCATTAGTAGCCTATCATTTTAGGATTCCTGCAAACCTCAATTCAAAAGCCAAGAAGTGCTGGCTACCAAAAATACCTCTGCAGATGTATTTATTCACATTGAGAGAAAAGTCAAGATTTCATTAAGGGTAACACATTCAGGTGCTTGCTGTAAAACAGACACCACAGACATAGCAATATTTTCCCTCCCCAGTACCCTTGTTTTTTAAACCAATAAAATGTGGCTTTTATATAACCCTCTTTCCATATCACCTTTTTAAAAAATGTAACATACCATAAATGCTTATTCCAAAAAAAAATAATAAATTGAATGGCAAAATACTAAAGTGTAATTGGTAGGACAGAGAGTTCCAGTATGGAAACAAGCTTCTACCCAGACACTGACATTCCATTACATGGAATTGAATCTGTAGCTGTGGAGAAGATTTTATTTTATTTTATTTGACTTGTGGCTATCTAACTTAAACTTTGTCTCACTTTGAAATATCAAAAAATCTAATTTCAAAGTAAATGTTTCCTTGCCTGAGTGTGCACATAGGGTCATTGCCTTTCCTTATCTGCACCCAAACGCTCTGCCTGTCCTAAAGTCACCGAGGACGATGCCTTCTCCTTGTTGGGCCATCCCCCTCTCCATTTAACCAGGGATTCCTCACAGATAAAGGTCAAGTCTGACATCTCTAGCTTCCTATGCGGGTATATTTAATAGATTGACAGACAATCCATTTAGGAAGATGAACTGATGAAAGATATTTACAAATCCTCAGGAAAAGGAAAATGACAGATTTTTATTAATGTCAGTAGAACCCAAAGGGAAAAAAACCTCAATTCTCAGTTTTAGGGACCTACAGTTGACCCTTGAACAACACAGGTTTGAACTGCTCAGGTCTACTTACATGCAGATTTTTTTCAATAGATACAGTACTGTAAATGCATTTTCTCTATGACTTTCTTGACATTTTCTTTTTTTTTCTATCTTTATCTTAAGAATACAGTATATACAAAATGAGTACAGCATATAATACATACAACATACAAAAGATGTGTTAACCCACTTCTCAGCAAAGTTTCAGGTCAACAGTAGGCTATAGGCTGGCTATAAACTTGACAAAGTTTTGGGGGAGTCAAAAGTTATACATGACTTTTTGACTGCACAGAGGTTTGGCACCCCTAACATCCACATTGTCTAAGGGACAACTATAGTGTCTGAAGAAATGAGTGGAATCACCATTCCTGAGATATTTTAAAGTAGGTGCAATGGTCATGAACCCAAGAAATGAGACCTCTTCAAGTTCCCTGATACTTGAATCATTTTACGAGCTGCCATGGCCACTTAGCTGGGGAGCACACAGGTCGTTTCACTGTGTTTCACTTTATTGAACTTTGCCCTTCTGTTTAAAAAAAATAAAAAATAAATAAAGTTTTGTGGCAGCCTCACATCAAGCAAGTCCATCAGTGCCATTTTTCCAACAGCATTTGTTCACTTCATGTCTCTGTGCCCCACTGGTACTTCTTGCAATATTTCAATTTTTTTCAGTTTTATTATATCTGCTATGGTGATCCATGATCAGTGATCATTAAGGTCACTATTGTAATCGGTTTAGGGCACCACAAATCATGCCCATATGAGATAGGGAACTTAACCAATAAATGTGTGTGTTCTGACTGCTCTACCAACCAGCCATTTCTGTCTCTCTCCCTCTCCTCAGGCCTCCCTGTTCCCTGAGACACAACAATGTTGAAATGAGGCCAATAGGCCCTACTCTAGGTAGTCTAAGTGTTCAAGTGAAAGAAGAGGCACAAGTCTCTCTCTTTAAATCAAAAGCTAGAAATGATGAAGTTTAGTCATGTCGAAAGCTGGGACAGGCTGAAAGCAAGGTCTCTCAGGTCAGTTACCCAAGTCATGAACACAAAGGAAAAGGTCCTGAAGGAAATTAAAACTGCTATTCCAGTGAACACGTGAATGATGAGAAAGCAGAAGTCTTACTGCTGACTGATATGGACACGTTTTAGCGGTCTGGATAGATCAAACCAGCCACAACATTCCCTTAAACCAAAGCCTGTTCCAGAGTGACCCTACTTCTCTTCAATTCGAAGGCTGAGAAATGTGAGGAAGCTGCAGAAGAAAAATTGAAAGCTAGCAGAAGTCGGTTCATGAGGTTTAAGGAAAGAAGCCGTCTCTATAACATCAAAATGCAGGCTGACACAGCAAGTGCTGATGTAGAAGCCATAGTAAGTTATCTAGAAGATCTAGATAAAATAATTAATGAAGGTGGTTAAACTACAGATTTCCAATGCAGACTAAAACAGCCTTCTATTGGAAGATGTCATCAAGGACTTTCCTAGCAAGAGAGAAGTAGTCAATGCTTGGCTTCAAAACTTCAAAGGATAGGCTGACTCTCATTAGGGGCCAATGCAGCTGGTGACTGTAAGTTAAAGCCAGTGCTCATTTGCCATTCCAAAAATATTAGGGCCCTGAAGAATTATGCTAAGACTACTTTGACTATGCTCTATAAGTGGAATAAGATAGCCTGGATTATAACACATCTATTTACAACATGGTTTACTGAATATTTTGAGTCCACTGTTGAAACCTACCATTCAGAAAAAAAAAAGAACTCCTTTCAAAATATTGCTGCTCATTCATAGTACACCTAGTCACCCAAGAGCTCTGATGAAGATGTCCAATGAGATTAATGTTGTTTTATGCCTGCCAACACAACATCCATTCTGCAGTCCATGGATCAAGGAGTCGTTTCAACTTTCAAGTCTTACTATTTAGGAAATACATTTCAGAAGACTATATAGAGAGTGATTCCTCTGATGGATCTGGGCAAAGTAAATGGAAGAACTTCTAGAAAGGATTCACCATTCTAGATGCCATCAAGAACATCTGTGATTCATGGGAAGAGGTCAAAACAGATCAACATTTGTTGGAGTTTGGAAGAAGTTGATTCCAATCCCCATGGAACCCTTAAAGGATTCAAGACTTAAGTGCACAAAGTAACTGTGGATGTAGTTAGAGAAAATAGAACTAGAGGTAGAGATGGAGATGTAAATGGCTGCAACCTCATGATAAAAGTTCAATGGATGAGGATTTTCTTCTTGTGGGTGAAAAAAGAAAGTGGTCTCTTGAGATGGAATCTACTCCTGGTGAAGATGCTGTGAAGATTGCTGAACTGACAACAAAGGATTTAGAATTACATAAACTTAGTTGGTAAAGTAGTGGTAGGGTTTGAGAGTACTGACTCCAATCAATGAAAAGTTCTACTGTGAGTAAAATGTTATTAAACAGCATCACATGATATACAGAGAAATCTTTCATGAAAGGAAGAGTCCATGAATATAGCAAACTTCATTGCTGTTTTATTTTAGGAAACTGCCACACCATGCCAACCTTCAGCAACCACCACCCTGATCAGTCAGCAGCCACCAACATGGAGACAAGATTAGCACTCACTGAAAGCTCAGACACTGGTTAGCAATTTTTAGCAATAAATACTTTTTAATTAAGGTATTTACATTTTTTAGATATAAATGTACCTCAATAACTATAGTATAGTGTAAACATAACTTTTATATGCACTGAAAAAATTTATTTGACTCACTTTATTATGATACTCACTTTATTGCAGTGGTCTGGAACCAAACCCACAGTATCTCAGAGGTATGCTTATACTCAAACAAGCCTAGATGTGGTCAGTAGACAGAGAAAGCAAAGGAGAGGAAGAAAATTGTTTTATCAGAACTCTCTAAAGTCTTTCCACTCCAGAATTTACTGAAGGACACAAGGCAAAAACAA